TAAGTGGGGTGTGAGAAGCGGAACTAAAATGAATTGTGATGAGAAGTGGAGCTGCGCCCAACCGCGCCGCAGCTCGACCAGGAGGCTCTGTGTACGGCACCTGCCACACGAAAGGCAGCCGCGGCCCAGCAGTGCCCACGCGCGCCACAGCTCGACCAGGAGGCTCTGTGTACTGCGCCTGCCAAACGAAAGGCAGCCGCGGCCCAGCGGCGCCCACGCGCAGCGCCCACGCGCGCCGCAGCTCGACCAGGAGGCTCTGTGTACTGCGCCTTCCGCACGAAAGGCAGCCTCTGTGCACCGCCCCTGCCACACGAAAGGCAGCCGCGGCCCAGCAGCGCCAACGCGCGCCGCAGCTCGACCAGGAGGCTCTCTGTACTGCGCCTGCCACAGTTCAACTGAAGTAATGTTTTCGGGAAGGGGCGCTATGAGCCAATGATCCTATTCCTACTGGCGCGCGGAGAAATTCCATCTGCTGCTTTCGGACAGTTATCGCCGCTCCTTCGGCGGGGCTCCGTCGTGACCGAGGAGCTGTGCCCAAGCGCCGGCGATGGACGTTGCCTAGCGAACGGCTGAGGAAAGCTGGTTACGAACCCATCTTGTTGCGTAGCATAGTATCCTTAGGTACAATATGTTCTGCGGATGTTCGAGCAATGCAGGACCTATAGGTCAGGATAACCAACCCCCCCATGGGATCTTCTATTTCAGTTAGGTGGTTTAATACATTTTACGAATTCATTTAATATCGGTGAATTAGATATAAGGATATAGATACATCTAAGATTATGTACATAGAAAAGAAACAATTTTCCTGCAGGTGATACCCCCCCAATTGTGTAGTAAAAAGCCGTTTTGATACCCAAAGAAGACTCTGATGTCCGTGAATTAGATATAATTACATAGACATGTCTAAAATTATGTACATAAGAAGGGAGCAGTTTTCTTGTGGGCGATATCCCCTAGGTTGTGTAGTAAGCAATGGGATTGTCCTAAATTGGCGGAGTTGGTTTCCTGAAACCGACCGTGTGAGATTCCCATTCCCCGCCTGGTGCCACGCCGCCTCCGAGCTCGCGGGGCCGGAGCAGCCTCGGCCAGCGGGTCGCAAGCTTCCAAGGTTGCCCGCCAGCACGAGACCTGCATCCAGCCTGTTGAAGCCAGCAGCGCTCGGGCGGCCTTTGCCCCACGCGCCCGCAGGCTCTGACCCATGCCTCTGCCTCCTCCCGTGTCAACTCGAGGCCAGCGACGGCGAGTGCGGCAACAGCGAGGGCAGTTTGGGCCATTCTGGAGGGAGTTTTGAGGGCTGGGAAGTGTTTAGACGCTTGAACCGGAGTGCTGCTGACTACAATTCCTCTCTCTCTCTCTCTCTGTCCGTCTCTCTCTCTCTCTCTCTTTCTTTCTCCTCTCTCTCTCTCTCTCTCCTCTCTCTCTCTCATCTCCTCTCTTTCTCTCTCTCTCTCTCTCTCCCCTCTAATCTCCTCTCCTCTCCTCTCATCTCCTCTCCTCTCATCTCCTCTCCTCTCATCTCCTCTCATCTCATCTCATCTCCTCTCTCTCTCTCTCTTTTCCCGTCCCGCCTTCGCTCCTGCTGCAGCGCGCCGCGTCGAGGCCTTTGCCGCGGGGGGTCGCCACCCCCCCCTCCGCCTGGGCACGACCGTGACATCATCGACCCGGTGGGGGTTTTTGTTGACCCAGGCGGAGCCAAACAAACAAACCAATCTACCAACTAAACACGACACCAAAAAGAACAACGACAGATACAAAGGGAACCAACAAGGACGCGCAGAAGGATCGAAGAAGGAAAACAAAACAGAGACCCGAAGCGAAACACCAGGGGAGAAACCAACCAACCAAAGAACAAAGGAATGACTAACACAGTCGCAAAGGCGATAGGGACCGCGGAGGAGGAAGCCGCAGAAGAGGAGGAACAACAAGAGGAAGAAGAAGATCAAGAGTGACTTGGGAGCAAATGGGCGGGTGGGTTGTAGCAAAGAAAAATACCAACCCAAGGAAGTTATATCTCTGTCTAACAGAGTCGTAGACCCTTAAACCCTAAACCCTTAAACCCTAAACAGGCGAGAGCGCCGCTGACCATACACATGGGCGCTCGAACCGCTCGGACGGCTTCGGGCTCTGCAGGCTGCGGCTCGAGCCCTCAGCCAGACTTTAGGGTTTAGGGGAGCCAAAAGAAAATGGAGCGTCCAGTGGGGAATACAGTGTGTACAGTGTGAAGTGGGGATTGTGGACTGTGTAGTGTAAAGTGTACAGTCTGGGGTGTAAAGTGTGAAGTGTAGAGTGTGGAGTCTGAAGTGTAAAGTGTCGAGTGTGGAGTGCAAAGTGTGAAGTGTGGAGTGTATAGTGTGGGGTATAAAGTGTAAAGTGTAGAGTGTGGAGTGTAAAGTGTGAAGTGTGGAGTGTAATGTGTAGTGTAAAGTGTAAAGTGCAGAGTGCAAAGTGTGCAGTGCAAAGTAGGGAGTGTAGAGTGTGGAATGTAAAGTGTAGAGTGTAAAGTGTAAAGGGTCAAGTGTAAAGCGCGGAGTTCGACATGCCATGTAAAATGTAAAGCGTAAAGTGTGGAGTGTAAAGTGTAGGGTGTGGAGTGTGGAGTGTAAAGTGTGGAGTGTGGAGTGCAAAGCGCGACGTGTGGAGTGTAATTTGTAAAGGGTACAGTGCGGAGTGTAAAGCGTAAAGTGTAGAGTGTAAAGGGTGGAGTGTAAAGAGTAAAGTGTAGACTGTGGAGTGTCAAGTGTAGAGTGAAAAGTGCGGAGTGTAAAGTGTAAAGTGTCAACTGTGGACTGTAAAGAGTCAATTGTGGAGTGTAAAGTGTGGAGTGGGGAGCGTAAGGAGTACAGTGTAGAGTGGAAAGTGTAAAGTGTAGAGTGTGGAGTGTGAAGTGTAAAGTGTGGAGTGTAAAGCGTAGAGTGTGGGGAGTGTAGAGTGTAGTGTAAAGTGTAGGGTGGAGAGTGTGGAGTGTGGGGTGAAAAGTGTGAAGTGTAAAGTGTGGCGTGTAAAGTGTAAAGTTTAAAGTGTGGAGCGTAAAGAGTAAAGAGTAAAGTGTAGAGTGTTGAGTGTGCAGTGTAGTGTGTGGAGTGTGGAGCGGTAAGTGTAAAGTGTAAAGTGTGGAGTGGAGAGTGTAAAGTGTGGAGCGTCAAGTGTAAAGCGTAAAGGGCGGAGTATAAAGTGTGGCGTGTGGAGTGCAAAGTGCGAAGTGTAAAGTGTAAAGGGTAAAGTGTGGAGCGTGAAGTGTAAAGTGTCATGTGTATACAGTGTAAAGTGTAGAGTGCGGAGTGTAAAGTGTAGAGTGTCAAGCGTAAAGTGTAGAGCGTGGAGTGTGGAGTTTAAAGTGTAAAGTGTGGAGTGTAAAGTGTAAAGTGCAGAGTGTAAAGTGTAAACTGTGGAGTGTAAAGTGTAGCGTGTGGAGTGTGAAGTGTAAATTGTAAAGTGTAACGTGTGGAGTGTAACGTGTAGACTGTGGACTGCGGAGTGTAAAGTGTAAAGTGTGGAGTGTAAACTGTAAAGTGTAAAGTGGGGAGTGTAGAGCGTATAAAAAGTGTGGAGTGTGGAGTGGAAAGTGGAAAGTGTAGAAAAGCGTCGAGAGAGAAGAGGAGAGCAGAGAAGAGGAGAGCAGAGGAGAGGTAGGGGTAGAGGTAGAGGTAGAGCTAAAGGTAGAGGTAGGCGCAGGGGTAGAGGTATAGGCAAAGTGGAAAAAAGTAGGGGAGAGAAGGGTAGACTAGAGTAGAGTAGCGTAGCGTGGAGCAGAATAGAGTAGAATAGAGTAGAGTAGAGTAGAGAAGAGTAGAGAAGAGTAGAGCATGTTCCTGCCTAGAGTAGAGTAGATTAGAGAGGAGAAGGTGCTTTTACGTAATGTCTTGCGATTGTGAGTGCGTTTTGCAAGTCATTGTTGGCAGAGTACGCTGGAATTGCCACAACATCATGGATGCGATTTGAATGTTAGGAGTTGCACGAAACACTGTGTATTTCCGGGTAAACGGAGGTTCCGTTGCGGAGAAAAGTTGGCTCGCTTGCGCGACGGTTTGGGGCGTCGCCGCTTTGGCGTGGAATCATGCTCCATTTGCGCGCGCAGTGGAGCTGAGGGTTCCAGGTGACTTTTTCTCTTCTTTGTTGGCGCTGTGCTATGGTAGTTTGCATGTGTTGAGGTACTTTGTGCATTGGAGCTGGCTGTCAGGTATTCAGCGGGGAACGTGCAGCTGCTGCTCACGCTCAGGAGCTCTGACAGAGCGACTGTGACGCGTGCGGTTGTGCTGCCTGCGCAACGACACGCAAAGGGGCGTGCAGCTGTGCTGCTCACGCGCACACCTAACAGGTGGCTGCCATTGTGGTGTCCGGCACGGCTGTGGCACCAACGCGCCACGTGACCTCACGGCTCCCCGCGCGCGTGGAAGAAATGCTGCAGCTGCAGCGTGGTTGAACGTTGGTACCACAAAATAGGATTGATTGAATGAAAGTACATGACAATTCGCAATGCAAGAAGGGTTGCGAAACATGAAAGTTGAAAAGATTCGGGACGCAGTTAGGATGAAGCAATGAGAAACGGTGATTGCGTAGAATTGAAAGGTTAAGACAATCAAAGACAATGTGAGAGAGTTACGGATAGATGAACCGAAGTTAGAGTTCTGAGGAAATAAGACGAAGAAAACATGAACGAGTCAAACTGATCGAGCGAAGGGAAAGGCAGTTGAACAAGTTTGCACTTGTGTCAGTTCAACCGGGCTGATAAAAAAAATTGGACGGGTGGAACTGAGGTGAGATGAGTCCAGACGAGCTGAGAATAGGGAAGAGAGAAAAAAAGAGAGTTGAGGAGAGTCAAGAAGAGGTGGACAGAGATGAGGGTCGTTGAGAAGAGTTGACAAGAAGTGAGAAGTCGTGAGAAGAGTTGAGAAGCTGTGAGGTTTCGCTGCATCTCCTATAGGCAAACCTTGTCTTTGCGTCCTATAGTGTAACAATCCTTAACCCTGGAAACTTCCGCCGCCCGCCTCGCGCGGGGTCTACTTGTATGTCAAAAAAACCTTCATTTTCACAGACCCAGGCAGGGTTTCTGGATTCGAACCCAGCCTTTCAAAATTATCTTCTTCCTTCGCTTCATCCAATAAGAGGGTTGTTGCGCAATCCAATGAGGGGTTCGCTGTCTTTGGCAATTGCCCAAAAACCTCAATGGGACCAGGCTCAACGTCACTTTAAGAGAGATCACAGTCTGAGCCAAGGCGTGAACATCAGCAATTGATGATGTTGATGCTAATGGCGATGCTAATGGCGGGCCGTTTCCATCTGCCTTACGTGCGGAAACCCCTAGAAAGGGCAAAAAATAATCAATGTTTCAATTCTTATGACAATGCGTGGAACATGCAGCCAAGAAAATTAATGCAAGTCGTGAAATCTACGAACTCTGAGAAAACAATTTAGCCTTTGGGTATCAACCAACTCTGGATCTGTGACCTGTTGCGAACAGGTGCCTCCCCGTTGAAAGGCACGGGAACCTCATTGGGCTCCGGGCGCCGCAGCCTTGGAAAAAGAATGCAGCTTTTGAAAAGGACAAGAAATATCATCAGGCTCAGCTGTTGCGACGCAACTTTCCCAAAATGAGCATCTGGACATGTCATGCGAAGCAGGGTGGTCTGCCATGAGCTCCTGTCGGGTTCCAAAAGAATCAAACAGCGGAGCCAGAGCAAAGCAAAGGGAACTGTTTCACTCTGCGTGCAGCCGTTCTAACTCAAACTCAACATGCATGGCCGTTGCTCCTTGAGGAGCAAGCCATGTCGCTTTTCCTAGGTGATGGTTCAACTTCCTTCAACACGTCAAGTCTTCTTCAAGCAACATTGTCCATTTCAGTTTCACAAAAACAGACCGAAAACAATAAAAACACCTTAAAGCCTTTGCTGATTGATCGACGGGTTTCAAGTTCAGCTCGCTCTTCGGCCAAGCATGCGTCTAGCCGCTCGAACAGACTCGCCGAACCCATGGCGCCCACACGAAATGATCGAATTGGTGGCACATCAATGCCTGCTGATGGCATCGAAATGATTCGACAGGTGGCTCACTAAAAATATCAAAGGCAACAACAGCTTTGAAGTACAAAAAAAGTTGCCGATGGTTTGTGACTACCCTCTTTGTCCTATATCCTATATGTGGAGATTCGCTGCCACACAGGGTTGAGGTTGCATTGCGGCCATCAATGGGATTTTTTCGCGTGGAAGCATCTGTCACTCGATTGCGTTTTCATGGCGCATCTTCATAGACCGTCAAAGACCAGAGATTCAACAAAGTGTTCCTTTTCGTGGTAGCTGCACAAATTTTCTGACAACTGCTGAACAAAACATGCAAAAAATGCAAAAGCATGTTGTGATGCACAGCGTTCAAACTTCATGATAGTAGTGGCATACGCATGTAAGAAGGACCAGCCTGCTGAGCTTTTCCAGACCAGCCCTTTAATGGCCCGAATATTCTCTCTGGATAAACAAGCCAAATGCGTATATAATTTTATCAAAATCCAAAAAGTTGCTGATCTTCTACCACGACCTTCCTGTGCAAGCCAACAACAATGCTTGACGCTGCCTGCGATTGGCATAGCTGTTATTTAGAAGGGCCCGAATGAGAGCCCCCGTGAATGCAAAAAAAAGAACCTGTGACGGGTCCAACTTCGCTGTATCCCGCATGGCTTTGGCCCGTTTCGGAACGCTAGCACGATCACAAGTGCTTGCAAGAGTTTAACGACGGCAATGCAAACCAGGAGCCAACCTCAAAATCCTGTGGCGATGTGATGGCCTACACGCTCGCATATGTTTCAACGTGGCTCATTGTCTGCATTAAACATGATACTTCATGCCTCCAAAGGCATGTTCGGCCAAATGGTCCTCCCGCAGTATTTAGGAGAATCCTGCAAGGGTGCCCCCCAAGAGTCGCCCACAAGAATGATTCATAACTAAGAATGTTTCGCATTTGTTGCCGAGTTTCCCATGTTAGTTGTCTTTATGCAAACAGCCAGCTAGTCTTTGACGCAACTTCTCACCACGTGAAAAACAGCATGCGCTCCGAGTTCGTGAGGCGTATTTGGGCTCGTCTGCCCTAGCATTGATTCTGGTGAATAATGATGAAAAACGCAGTGACCCTGCACAAGTATCATATAGAATCATACATACAAAACGAAATGGAATCTATAGGTACCGGAGCCTTCTTTGATCCAAAAGAAACCACATAGACATGACAACAGGATTTTCCCGGTAACCGCTCTTCAAACTGCAGGCCCGCGCCCCCTTTTGAACGCGCACTTCGCGCAAACATAGCTAAGCCACATTTTGTGGACAAATATACTTTTTGGGGCGGTGGCAGGCCAAAGCCTTTGCTGCAAGCTCGGTGAGGCTGCCCAACTCCACGCTATCAGCTCCTGCCAAGCAGCAATTCCCTCCAAAAAAACATTCTCCATCTCTACAAAAACTTAAGCCAAGGAATGTAACCTGCCATGGGCACATGAGCTATATCGGCAAAGCGCTGATAGCATCTTGCAATGTTGTCGTTGCTGTCAGTTGTCATGTCATGCCCACAACAGACAAGTATAACGCTAGCTGGCTGATTCTCTCTTAGTTTCTGTGCTGGTGTCTTTTGCACCGTTGCAACTTCCAGTCACCTTCCGTCTTGTGTTGGCCGCGTTGTACTCATATGTGCCGTGCCGTCGCCTTTTCGTACATGGCTGGATGTCGCATAATAAAGCCACAACCCATGTCAAAGCGATCCTTACCACGCACGTGCGTGCGCCGGCATCTGTTTGTTCTCAGAGCTGGTGACTTTCTGGCAGTGGCGGCGGCTAGCACGAGCTGACAAGCCTTTCGGGCCGGCAATTCTGGCACCCACATGAGCCAACAAAATGAAAGCTACCTGGCTGCCTAGTCACCTGTAAGGCGTAAAGTGCGTCAATACTATCGAGTAAGTTCACGCATGGTTTTGTTGTCGTGCATGCAGCTAATCCTGTCTATTGACAAGATGCAAGAGTATGTACCTTCTCCCTTGCACGGCATCACATCCGCATGCATACTTCACGAACTTTAGCGCAAGGGGCTAACCCAATACTGGAAATCCCATCCAAGCCAATGACATGTCTGCATATGTCTGCAAAGTTTTGTCATGGCTACTCCATCCTCTCACTCTGATACAACACAAATCAGCAAATCGCTGGAGCTTGGACGCGGTATCGTGCAATTTGGCGCAGGTTTGTGATGAATACAGTGTCAAGGCGTGCTAACCAGCACCTCTCAAGAACCTCCTCGGCTGAAACATTTGGGGGTTTTATGATTCTATGTTGCCGGAACCTGCCATAGCTTGCAAACAGATCTCGAAGGCACGCGATTTTCTCTCAACTGACGCTGAGGCCAGAACTTCACGTTACAATGGGCCAGGTGGACGAGGCCTGCATCATGAATTCCGACACTTTCGTCAACAAAACCTCTTGCTCAGGCTAGGAAAATACACCAAGGCCCTTGAGGTGATGTTCTCACTGCCCCCAGGCCCCTCAGCTGCTGGCAGCATTGGAACTGGAGGCCGCACAACCACTGGTCTTGGGGCGCGGTTTCAAAGGGCTTGGCTAGTTGAACTTGAGGCTGTGGAAAGTGAACGAACGCGAGGGCAAAACATGACTCATTTCGCAGGGCATTCAGGTGTGTCCGCTACATTAAACTTGGGCAACCCCTTAGAAAGCATGATAATATTGACAAAAACTTTCTTACATGGTCTGTTTCCAATAAAAGCCATTGCAACCTGAGGAGGATGTAGCGAAAGCCGGCTCGAATCTGGCGATGTGAAATAGGATGGAAGGTAGCGCCAAAGAGATAATTCGGACATGGCCTCTACGTCTCATCGCCCAGAACTCTTGTTTACGACGCCAAGACCTAAACTCCGATCTCCATTTTATGAATCTCTTAATTTAATGGCCTCTCGTTTTTCTGTTTCTAACTGGCCTCTACATCTCATCTCCGACAAGCCATGTTTCTGACACCGAAGAGCCGGACCAGGGGGGAATCGATACCCCACCGTCACTGAATTGCGACATCACCCTCAAAACGCACCCGTTTGCCCACCTAAAACACCGCCTAATTTCTTGTTTTCTGACATCTTTTGACGACCTGCCCCCAGACCCCTTAGACTCACTTCGTTCGTAGTGATAACTTCAGCCTAGCCTGCCGTCTGGCTTTCGTAATTGTTTTTTTTGCAAAAGGTGACATAGTAGGAGCTGCCAAGCAATATTTTTGATGCCTTCCAGCATGCGCTATTAAAGCGATTGTCTCCCAAATATGTTTTTAAAGCGCTGCCCTCGTGGACCTGGAACCTCAATCAGCACCTCCTCGAATCTTAATCTACAGCAAAGCGCTCTGCGACAAGCAGGACATCCAAGGAAGAAACTTGTAACAAGGGGTATGTATGCAAACACACATAATTACACACGACGCCTCTCAAAATAGCACGAGCGCAAGAAACAAGAACAGAACACAAGATATTTTTGATATTTTTCGGCCATCTACATCACACAGGGGGATTTTACAACAAATACCATGTCAAGGAAAGAGCATGAAAGAGCCTCAAACAACCTTAATTTCTTTAACAAAAACACCAACTATTGTCGCGAAAACATGCAATACTTTACTACAATCCTGAACTATCATCAAGTACCTGCTGGCCCCCTTCGGCCCTTCAGCCCCTTTACACTAACTCATGCTCATCTGTCCCGTCAGTCTCGTCTCAAACTCGTCTCTCTTGTCCATCGCCCTATCAACCTGGAAGACACAGCAGGCAAAAAAAAAACACAAAGTCACCTGGAGGAACCAGAGGGAGGGGGCACTTGATCCCACTGCTTCAACAAATTCCAACAACATCTATGTCATCCGTATCACATTGAAAACATTGTTTCGGTTCTCACATAGCCCTGCTTAGCCCTGCATGGTTTTCCTTTGGCTAGGCAGGGGCCGTGGCTAAGTAGGACAAGCATGTTTCAGCATGAAGTTGCACGTCTGATAATGCACTGTGAGTGAGAAGCATCCGAATCTGAAGAGATGTATATTATATAAACTTCTATCTGGCCTCGATTGGATTTCACTGTTGTTTGTCCACGAAGCTCTATGCAGTTGACAAGGGTAATGGCGGATCACTGTGGTGTACCTGCGCTGATGTCACTTCCAGGGGGCCTTATATACATTTAAAAAATGTGTGTGTGTGTATATATCGTCTGTCTGTTTTATGCAGGTATGTGATTTATCTCCCATCTGATCACGGTGGTGATCAATTAAATTCAATTTCTTGTCTAGTGTGTACCGGCCCCAACCTTTAGCACGAAGAGGGGAAACTCCGAAACTATCTGTGGGTGATTTTTGGGCGAAGGCAAGAAAGCAAAATCTTCTGACGAAGGGGAAAAAACCTGAAACACTGCAAACACACCTTGTCACGCCAATATAATGCAAGCAAGAGATTGAACTGCAAGTGGCCAAGGGTGCCGCAACCAATACGAACAACATACAATCAGTAAGCAGCGGATTTGCTGAGAAAAAATTAAGCACTGACCAGCACAGCCCCAGCGGTGAAACCTCTCACTGTTCCGAAATGAGGGCTGCGCTGTCTTTATATAAAACAATTTTGGGGTTGGGGATATGCCCGGTACAACACCTGATGTATGCGTTTGATCACAAATTTCTCGAGCAAAACAGCGAAAGCTTAGATCTCTGCCGCCCAGGACCTCCAGGGCCACACCTCACTTGAAAACGTATTCCAACCAATTCCAACCGATTCCAACCAGGCTCCACTGGTCCAGCATCCTGCCTGGAGGCATCCCAGCCAGCTTTCGCCCAAGGCGTTGCTAACATGCCCTGAGCTAAGGGATAAATTAAAGCAAAAGTAGCGCAGCTGTTGATGCGAAGTTTCAGATGGGTCCATTGCTTAATCCGGTAAAACTGCTTTCTGCTCTCTCTGCTTTGGTGCGCTCTGCTGTATGCCTGTGAAGTGGCACCTGGCACGTGCGCTTCTTGGGGAAAGCCACGCTCAAA